CCCCTGCCCTGGGCAGGGACACCTCCCACCAGACCAGGTTGCTCCAAGCCCCATCCAGCCTGGCCTTGAACCCCTCCAGGGATGGGGCAGCCACAGCTTCTCTGGGCAACCTGGGCCAGTGTCTCACCAGGGACGAAGGGGACTAGACCTATACTTTGAGCCAATGCTTATTATTGCCAGTGTGAGTGTACTGTATTGTCATAAACATACAACATGTGTATTAAAGGAGGGAATCTATTGCTAGAACCTGCTGTGCCATGCAATAGATTGCTATTAACTCTTTTAGTGTCTCTTTCAGTGTTAACAGTGTGCCAAACACCCTGTTGTTCAATAAGATAGGAGAAAAGAGAGCGAGCCACTGCTGTTGTAAGCTGGCACTGCTGCGGTGAAGTCAGTGCCTTCTGATGGCAGAGGGTGTGAGCACCAGATCACAGAATTACAGAAATACAGGATCTTCATGGTTGGGAGGGACCTTTGAGATCATCGAGTCCAAGATCTCCTCTGGCCCTCGCTCTGGTGTAAAGTGCAATCTCTCCACAACAAATCTGTGCGCCTTGAGTCACGCAAGACTTGCTTTGTCTGTACTGCCCTCCAGAAACATCAGGGTCCCGCAGGATGGCGGACACTCTGGTCCTGGTCCTCAGGGGATATTGGCTGTCTGGAGAACAACAGGTGACACCGTGGAGAAGCGCAACAGCCAGCACAGGAACGTGACCACATATGAGCTACACTGGTTTCTCTAGCAGCCCCCCTCAGCCGTACCTCCTGTGGTGCCCTGTGCTCAAATAGCTGTTGGGTGGGATGACCATGCCAGTGAGAAATCTTATCTGTGCTCTCCTGCCCTTACCCTGACTGTTTCTCTGTTTCAGATATGGAGACGAAAAGAGCAGAAGCCCTCTTCAATGACAGTAAGTGAGGGCTTTTTAAGCCTGGGAGATCTCCAATTGTTTTCATTACCATTAATAATATCTGAGCGCTTTTCCTGGTCCTTAACAGCCTTTTCTCATCCTCTAATCTAATGGTCTAATGAATGTGACCTCGTACTTCACACAGATGAGCCGTGTGTTTAGAAATCAATCTCGGTCCCAAGAAAACTTTTTTTTATTCCTGTCTTCTGGGGTATTTAGGAAGACTGGCTTGAAAATGGTGCTGATGGGGTGAAAATCCCATCTAGCCTACACCTACTGCTGAGTTTCTTGCTCAGATTTTTGCAGTGGGACGTTCCTCCTCTTAAAAACAGCAGATGTTCTGTGAGAAGAGAGCAAACGAGGAGAAAAGAGCGAGTGCTGAGGGCTCTGGAGCAATCTCCAGCGTTGGGCAGAGAGGAGACACGCTGCTGTGTGACTGCTCTAGGAGAAGGTGTCCCTGCCCAGGGCAGGGGGGTTGGAACTGGATGATCTTTAAGGTCCCTTCCAATCCAAACCATTCTATGATTCTCCTAACACAGCCTGGGAGTGAGAAGTGCCCCAAGAGCCAACAGAGCCTGGGAGTGAGAAGTGCCCCAAGAGCCAGTAGGACTGGGCACATGTGGAAGAGTTTGGGGAACAAAAAGGCTTTCTGTGTGCTCTCAGAAACTGGGAATGTGTCATTTTCTTCAGTGTGCATCAGAAGGAAGGAAAGACCACGAGGAAATGTATAGAAGTTACATCGGCCTGTGATGATAATGAAAGTGTTGTGGATTTTGGAATGGCTAGCAGCACAAAGTTGTTCCTTATGGAAATAATAGGCAATAGGATTGGTCTTCTCAAGCTACTACTTTAGGGGTTAAGTCGTAGTTTGTTTTAGAGACCTTCTTAAGCTTTGAGAGAAGGAAGTCAGCTTATTCGGAGATTTAATAATCATAAAAAGCCATATTTGCTTAAAAGTTGGGTTTCTTTTAACTGTGGTAAGGTTTGATCAGTACCTTAGCACCAGGCTGTCACATAACTGAAGATTAAATAGCATCACTTTTTGGGTTGGTTTGAGGAGCTGGTGTTCTGGGGCACGGATGGACTGGGAGTTTTTCCCTGTGTTTTGCACCTTGGCTGCTCAGATGGTTAAACAGGATCATCCAGTAGGACTGTGCACATGTGGAAGAGATTGGGGAAAAAAAAGGCTTTCTGTGTGCTCTCAGAAACTGGGAATGTGTCATTTTCTTCAGTGTGCATCAGAAGGAAGGAAGGACCACGAGGAAATGTATAGAAGTTACATCGGCCTGTGATGATAATGAAAGTGTTGTGGATTTTGGAATGGCTAGCAGCACAAAGTTGTTCCTTATGGAAATAATAGGCAATAGGATTGGTCTTCTCAAGCTACTACTTTAGGGGTTAAGTCGTAGTTTGTTTTAGAGACCTTCTTAAGCTTTATAACCCCTACTACTTTAGGGGTTAAGTTGAAGTAGTTTGTTTTAGAGACCTTCTTAAGCTTTGAGAGAAGGAAGTCAGCTTATTCGGAGATTTAATAATCATAAAAAGCCATATTTGCTTAAAAGTTGGGTTTCTTTTAACTGTGGTAAGGTTTGATCAGTACCTTAGCACCAGGCTGTCACATAACTGAAGATTAAATAGCATCACTTTTTGGGTTGGTTTGAGGAGCTGGTGTTCTGGGGCACGGATGGACTGGGAGTTTTTCCCTGTGTTTTGCACCTTGGCTGCTCAGATCGTTGACAGGATCATGCAGTTTTAGGGACAGTAATTGAGAATTACCAGCAGCTTTCCAGAGGTATGGAGAATGCCACAGAATACTGGGGAGGATCCAGAAACACACTAATGCAGATGGTTTTATGGATTATAGTGTATTCTCCGGTTTTCCTTTCACATGGAAAGTTTTGGCCAAGTAGATTTAGATTTCACTGAGGTCCTTCACTGTGGTTTTAAATCTCAGACCAGGGCAGACTCTACACCGTGCATGTGAGCTTCTCAATGTTGTGTGACTTTTTGGTTTGGTTTGGGGTTTTTTGTTGTTGTTTTTTTTTAAATTTCTGAACAGCTTTCAATCCGCTGTGTTATCGCTGCTCCTTTTGACGACGAGGTACTGTGAACAGAGCCTTGTGCAGATCCTAGCAGGAAGGGGCAGAGGTTACACTCTGTGTGGCTCCAATCTTTCGCTTCCAAGGACTTCAAGGGCCCTGGAGCTGGCAGCTCTGCAGTGACATATTACTGATTTCTGCTCCGTTCCCCTCCGAGTCGCTGTCTGCAGGAGGCTGGCAGTGCAATGGTTTGGGCTTGTGTGTTGTCACTATGCAAATAATTGTGAGCTCTGTCTCTTTTTCAATGGATTGGGATAGTCCTGTCTGTCAACTTTCCTAAGGTCTAGCTGAAATCGGGGCCTGGACGGAAACTAGTGGGTCATGGTCCAGGTAAGATGGATTTGATGCTGATGCTGATGGGAGAAGACAGCTGAAGCATCTCTTGTCCATTGAGGATGTTTCTGAAGCTACTGGGGAGCTTCAGCTGCTCCTGAATATCCTGAGTTTAGTGGCTGAAACCATGGATATTTTAATTTCTCTCTGGGTGTGGAGGATAATAACTTTATGTCATGGATACCCACTGTGCTGGAGGTATCCATGCCCTTGTCATCTCTGGCTTGGATTAGTGTGATGTTCTTTGCCTGAAGTGCCTCTCCAGGCCCACCTGCAGACTGCCAAACGTGCATTTACCTGTTTCCAGGTGACACCTTGCTGATGTAACCTGCGTGCATGCGTGGTAAAAACCCATGGCTTGGATCATTCCCACCTTAGATTTTGCCTTGTTCATGTTTTATAATAATGACAAATTACCTGGGACATTAAAGTTGGCAATCCCTGTATCTGGGAATTGTCCTGGGTGTGTGGTGAAGGGTTTTGATTCCTGATTTGGACTGCTCGCATGGCTAAGCCTGAATGGTTGACCATCATGGCTTTCCATAACAGTCAGTTGTTAATTCAGGCTTCTAACAGAACGGGTTGTGCATGAGGATCTCTGACCTTGGGGGCTGGTGGAAGGTGTGTTTTCTTGTTGATGTTGACTCTGTTAGAGAACCTCGGCGGTGTGTAGTTTTACATGCGTTTTCCACAGCCAATGAAAAGCATTATTTACTAAACGGGAGAGCAGCTAATACACTCTTTCTCCTTTTTGACAGTCTGTGGGTTACGGCAGAATAGATCGGTCAAGTCAATGGCAAAATCGTCGTCACTGCGGATCGTTGGTGGACTGTCTTCTGCAGAGACCGGGGACTGGCCCTGGCAAGCTAGTCTGCAGTACAACAACATCCATCGCTGTGGGGCAACACTCATCAGCGACACGTGGCTGGTGTCTGCAGCTCACTGCTTCAGAGAGTAAGTTCCCATTTGAGAGAGAACCTGCAGCAGAACGTGTCCCCTGTGTACCAAGTTGCGTGGCTTTCCAGATTTGCATCACACCCAACTCTTTCCAGAGGAACTATTGCCAAGTGCCAGGTCCTGCCCCTTGGGTCCCACCAACCCCCTGCAGCGCTACAGGCTGGGGGCAGAGTGGCTGGAGCTGCCTGGCAGAAAAGGCCCTGGGGGTGTTGGTGGCCTGTGGGCTGAACAGGAGCCAGCAGTGTGCCCAGGTGGCCAAGAAAGCCACCAGCATCCTGGCCTGTGTCAGGAACAGCGTGGGGAGTAGCACTTTGGAGGTGATGGTCCCCCTGTACTCGGCACTGGTGAGGCCCCACCTCGAGGGCTGTGTCCAGTTTTGGGCCCCTTCCCACAAAAAAGACATTGAGGGGCTGGAGCGGGTCCAGAGAAGGGCAATGGAGCTGGGGAGGGGTCTGGAGCACAAGTCTTGTGAGGAGAGGCTGAGGGAGCTGGGGGTGTTCAGCCTGGAGAAAAAGAGGCTGAGGGGAGACCTTCTGGCTCTCTCCAACTCCCTGAAAGGAGGGTGTAGCCAGGGGGGGTCGGTCTCTTCTCCCAAGGAACAGGAGATGGGACAAGAGGAAATGGCCTCAAGTTGCACCAGGGGAGGTTCAGGTTGGAGATTAGGAGAAATTTTTACACTGAAAGGGTTATCAGACACTGGAATGGGCTGCCCAGGGAGGTGGTTGAGGCACCATCCCTGGAGGTGTTCAAAAGACGGGCTGATGTAGTGCTGGGAGGTATGGTTTAGTGATGGTGTTCCTTGTTTGTTGTGTGGGTGACTATTTTTGTCAGTGAGGTTGACGGTTGGACGAGATGATCTTTAAGGTCCCTTCCAACCTAGAAGATTCTGTGATTCTGTGATTCTATTTTCTGCATTGGAGGAGAAAAGTCAGGGTTAAGCAGACCCATCACTTGTATGTTTCAATGAGAAATTAAAGGCTGACTCTTTGGAGCAGAACTGGCAATTGTACGAGTGGAAATCAGTAGGCATTTGGCCTATTGGGCTTAGAAGTCTAGAAAGAGTAATGTGGCTGAAAGGGCAGAGTATTTGTTTCCTGTTGCACGAAGCAATTCTGAAGGTGCTCCTTCATATTGCAAGTAGGTTGCTGCTGCTGCAGGCTCCTACCAGAAGGTATAATTCCACATTCCCACCCCTCAGCTCAGCCATCCGCTCCCACAGCATTATGGAAGGTGAATCTAGCAGGGAGCTGACCTGAAGGAGCTTTACAATAATAGTGCTCACCAAGTTTAAAGTCCCGAAAACGCATATATTTACAGCTAAATACTTCTAGCACTCTTATCTTTTTCAGCATGGGTCATCCTCAGAAGTGGACTGCTACTTTTGGAGCTGTTTTGAAGCCACCGAGCTTGAAACGATCAGTCAAGACTATTATTATTCATGAAAAATACCGCTACCCAGAACATGATTACGACATCGCGCTTGTGCAGCTCTCCAAACGAGTTGAGTTTACGAGCAGCATACACCGTGTTTGTCTGCCTGAGCCATCTGAGACTTTCCCCTACAATATTTACGCTGTCATCACGGGCTGGGGAGCACTTACCAACGACGGTGAGTCCTGAGTCTTCCAGGCGACCTGTATGGTACATAAACATCTACGTTAGAGAACAAGTCACACGAGGAGAGGCTGAGGGAACTGGGCATGTTCAGTTTGGAGAAGAGGAGGCTGAGGGGAGACCTCATTGCCCTCTACAGCTCCCTGACAGGAGGGTGTAGAGAGGTGGGGGTTGGCCTCTTCTCCCAAGGGAATCATGCCAGGAGCAGAGGAAATGGTCTGAAGTTGGGGCAGGGGAGGTTTAGATGAGATGTGAGGAAGAATGACTTTGGTGAGAGGGTGGTCAGGCCCTGGAAGGGCCTGTCCAGGGAGGTGGTGGAGTCACCATCCCTGGAGGTGTTTAAGAAACAATGTAGAGGTGGCACTTGAGGGCATGCTCTAGTGCCTGAGATTGTTGGGTTGTGTCTGTTTGTGGTGGGTTTTGTTTGTTTGTTTTTGGTTTTGTTTTTGTTTTGTGGTTGGACTCCGTGATCTCAAAGGTCCCTTCCAACCATGGAGATTCTGTGATTCTGATTCTGTTTATGTAGATGAATTGATACCACTTCTGCAGCCGTACGTTGTATGGCAGCAAGCCTAATTCTTTGTCTGTAAGCAATAGGTTTGTTTAATCAAGAGCAGCAGTTTCTTTTCTAAAATGAGACTAGGAAAACACTGAGTTACAATCCATTGAAGCAGAAAACAGGAAAAAGACTGTTCTCTTTTTCTAACCTTTCTGTTTCCTATTCTAAATTCCCAAGACAGGAAGTCCAGCCACGCATGTTTATAGACCACCTGAAAAATTATTCTCCCAGCCCTCGCCAGAAGCTACAGATAACTGAGGGCTTTCAGGAAAATGTGCAGTGAGCCACAGATGGTGATGTACCCAAGGTCACACTCTTACCAGGACACACTACGAGTAGATTTAGCACTGGAACCAAGATGTCTTCATTTTGTATAATCTGTGCAAATTGCTAGGTAATTCGTGTTCCACGGTATTATATGGAACATATATAAAATATAGGGGTTTACACTTAAGGCACCATGCAATCATTACTTCTATCTTAATGGTACAGTTCCTAAGTGAGACGATGAATATCTATGTTTTCCTTAAGAGCCTAACCTAGGTAGATCAACAAGCAAAACCTCCATAAGAAACTAAGTCAAGCTGGTCCTCCATAAGAGAACACTAAAAGCTCTTCCTGTATCTTAACTACTGCAAAGTAATTCTGTCGATAAATGCCCAAGCTGTGTTTTCCCTCAGGTCCAACTCCGAATGCTCTTCAGGAAGCAACAGTGAAACTTATTGACTCAGACACTTGCAACAGGAAAGAAGTGTACGATGGGGACATAACGCCCAGGATGCTGTGTGCTGGGTACTTGGAAGGAGGAGTAGATGCTTGTCAGGTAACTGTAGCTGAAAATTAGAAAGGAAAACTATTTTAAAGCTGACTGTAGCGTCTGGTTGACCAAATCTTAACTGACAGTGTATTAGTCCATTAAATAGGCTCCATTCAAACTGGAATTAAGTTGTAAAATGAAATAGCATTTCATACACATCATTTAGCGCATACAACCCATACTGAGAGAGCTAAATTAGTATCATATTCAGAATTTAAACTTTTCATAGCATGAAATGAAAATCTTATTCTGTAACTCAGAATAGCAACGAGAAGCCCATTTGCTTCTCATAATTTCTTGTGTGTGAAATCTAACTACCAATTTGTTTGCAAAGTGGTATGACGAGATGTTGACAGAGATACTAAATGCTGCAATACTAAATATGAGCTAAAAATTAAATGTCTCAAGCAGCCAAGACCAGACATCTGTACAGTTGAGAAGGAAGACGTTTAAGAATGTAGTAATTAAGCTGCCAGCAAAAACGCACTATCAGTCATTGAAATTAAATTCTGGACTGGATCATCTCATAAAAGATCTTCAGCAACAGACTTGTATCAGTGGAAGGAAAACTGTCTGAAACACAGATAACTATAAGGAAGATAAGTGTAAATGGAATAGTAACAATACGTGCATGGTGCAGGTTTGCAAATGTTGCAAGGAAATGCTTATGTTCAAACTGCAATATTTGCATAAAGACAACCTTTTAAAAGGTAATTTCTATTTATGTTATTTACAAAGAATTTACTTCTAAGCTCTGGTTCAAAGCAGACCATTTCCAGACTCCCAGTTCTACAGATTTACGCCCAAAGCCTTGCAAAACCAGTCTGGGAGGCTCAATTCCTCTGTTCCCTTCTGGCTCAGCATTGAAGAGACCTCAACAGAAGGATGCAACTGCTGTTTATTTCAGTAAAGCATTTTGGTGGAAGATGGGGAACTTGGTCTCTTGCGTGAGGATTGCCTTCCAGCCTGTAAGGTTTCCAGTTTAACGATTATTACCGTGTCATGCTATGAACAGTGTCTGAATTCAGCCTTTGAGAGTGGCTAACATCTTAAGGAGATACTGTTTAATTAGAAGACCAAGTTCCCCGTTAAATCCTTTTGAAATGTTGCTGCTGCAAGTGACTAGAATAATGTGTTGAAAGGATAGTGGTTACTGTAGGAAAAAAAGTTCCTCCTGGTTTAGATTGCTGTATCTATTTGTGTTTCCCTACTTCGTATGAGGAGAAAGACAAGGCAGGTGGGCAGCAGTGTTCCACGAAACAGAAGAGAAACTTTTTTTTTTTACTGTAAGACCACAGAGACAGGTCAGGAGGTTCCACAGCAAACAGGAAAAAGCCACAGGCTTCCAACTTGAGTTTCAGAAACAGCCTGGATTCTGCACAAATGGCAGCTCTTGAAGTATTGCTTGCTTTCTTCTGGTGTTGGACACAGCCTCCTGTCTATGGGGAGAATGATATTTTCCCTTCCGATCAATTAAATCTTTCTTTTTCCCCTCCTCTTTCTCTAGGGGGACTCTGGGGGACCACTGGTTACTCCAGACTCTAGACTGATGTGGTACCTCGTGGGAATAGTGAGCTGGGGAGATGAATGTGCCAAACCAAATAAACCTGGAGTTTACACACGAGTGACATATTTCCGTGACTGGATTACCTCAAAAACTGGCATCTAATTCCAAAATCAAAAATGGATTTAACTACATAGACTCCGTGCAACTCCTCATATTTTTCTGTAATTCTGAAAAGTTATTTTTTTAGTATATATATTTCTGTGTAGTTTTGGCCGAAGCAACCTTTGCCTGCAGCAAGCGCTATCTTTGCTGTCAGAGATCCTAACCCCTTGAGAATTTATACCAATATATGAGATTGCTTGCCTCATCTTTGAGCCTCAAAACATTCTCACTTATAAGAAATTACGAACTGATGTCGTCAAACTGAAATTTTAAAGTTACCAATCTACCTGCTTTATAAATACAAACATTTTCCAGGAAAAAAAAACAACAATAAAACAAAAATTTTCTTCAGCCATGGCCAAGGTCTGAAGCTGAACCTTCTTCCTCCAGTGAAGCAAATGTTGTCACAGCTGTGTTTCTAGCAAAGTGAACCCTTGGTTATTATTCTTCTTAGAGACTTTCATCTGCACAGACTGCAGCCGAGACCCTGGATGCTCGCCCTGCTCAGTGGATCAACCAGGACTGAGAGTCCTTAGGTCCTACCTAAGGAAAAGGAGGATTTCTGTGCCTGCAGGAAGTTGGAGGGGAGAAGATAAAAGCTCAATGTTCTTCATCTTAAGCACATTTTTAACAGCAAATTTTTGGTGGATTCTGTGAAGTTCAAGTTACCTGAAGGTGCTATTGTGGAAGTGCTTTATCACAGTACCATGCTGCTACCTCTGTACCGGTTGCCTTCCAGAGATCTACTCTGTTCAACTGACAACGTGCTTGAGATACAAAACCACAAGCTCTGCCCAAATTTGTCTGTAATACGTATGTCCCCATGAACAACTTCCTTGGGAGGAAATCCAGCATTTAAATTTTTGCTGATGGAAAAATAAATATTCACAACAAGTAATCTGGGAACTACCTTTTTCGTTCAAAAAATAGTGTGCTTTTCCAAGGGCACGCCAGCCGGTGGAAACCATCTCGCTGCAAAGAAAGCAATCAGTGATACTGTCCTGCTTCACTGATGGATTCATCTCTGCCATGTGTGAATATCATCCTGTCTTAGGAGGCTGAAGAGTAATTTCACTTTAAAGAACAGTCCTGCTAAGAACTTCAAAGTAAATGCAATCCTCACACCCCAGTTAAGCACTTTTCCTGCCTCTGTGCATGACATCTCATGGATTGCTGGTGGAAGAGGGTCCAGTGACATGACTATTACTGTCCCCTAGAGCCCAGGCCTTCAATATGAGGATCCAAAATGTCACTCCAGTACTGTCTCCTTTGAATGGCCGCCGGACTGCTTAGGCTGTGAATGCAGGACTCACTGGAGTCTGTATGAGACACGAGAGAAGCTGCAAGCCCCACAACTACTACAGCTGAAAATCTCTCCGAAGCATCCTGCCTCCCCTCCTGCTCAGAACTGGATCTCTCCTCAGCCTTCCTACTCTGCAAGCTCCCCAATAATCAGCATCCCTGGGGATGAGATGCTCAGCATTTCTTGAAAGCTCACACCCTGAATTATGAGCCTACATGTGGATGGGAAAGCCTATGCTTAAGCCTCAGGGGTGGAGGAGGGGGTGGTCTTATTATTATGCTCCTTCCAGTCTTTCTACATATCTTTTGAATTTCAGGAAAAGACAAGATGCCTTATCTCAGAAAGAAACGTACTGAAGATTTTAGATCAGTTTTGGTTTTGAAATAGTTGGATCTTTATTCTGGTTTTCCATGTCCATTATAAAATGCAAAGGATCTTGGGACAGTTAGGAGAATAGTTAGATGCAGCAAATCCGTTTCCTTAATTTATTGATGAAGTTTGTAATTTATGCACTTTTGAGTTGCTGCTATTTTTCAACTAAGATTTTACTCTGGGTCAAGTTCAGTTACCAAATAGAAACGTCATAGTTTTGTATTACATCACCCGGGAACACTGTTTTCTTCTAGTGTTCAGGTCCCCTTTTTTCGAAGGCATCCTTTGGGAAAAAAATTACATCTAGGTTTTTGTGCCTCTTATTGCTTTGAAGGTGAAAGTCACGACAAGTGTCCTTCCTTATGATCAACTGACAAATTGCAATTGGAAGTGACCAGCAGTCACTTTCATAGATAGCTAAGGCTTTGTTTTGCACTTAAATCTACCTTTTTGCCTAGAAAATGGAGGGGCGACAACAACAAGGGGATGAGGCCCAGATTTGATACAACCCCTATAAACTGGTTCCTACCTCACACTGCAAGTGATATGTATATATGATACCTTTAAAATGAGAAAGGCAGCCTTTATTGCAGATTTCCTCGCGAGAGGCCAAACAGCCACGAGGTGTGTGGGAGAACGTCTACCTTACTCAGGGAGTCCTGAGCCAGCCAGCTGCACTTTTCACACATTTTTTTAGCAAACTGTCTGGCCTGGGTTTGTCCTATACTCCATGTCAGTGTTTTATTTATGAAGACTCTGTTTGTTTTCTGCCCTAGGATAAAGCGAAGAGAATATTGTATGATTAAAGAAAGGATTTTTAAATGCCTTTTATTGTCGTTGATGTTAAGATTTAGCAAGGATTATAAAGGATATAAAAGTAATATGTTTCATAACATTAAATGTATTTTAAAACAGTTGCTCTTTTTTTTGTCTTTTTTTTTTGCTTAATAATATCCAAGCTAAAAATTAGTCTATTTTGAATCACATACAAGCCTCCTTATTCTCATGTAAGGCTATTCTAAAACTGCAGCTCTGTCTGTTCATTCCCCATCCTAAGATTGTTTGTCTTTTAACAGTGGCTGGAGCTTTAGAGAGATGTATCAGCAAAGACAAGGCAGGACATCTGCTCTTCTAAAATCCTCAAAGGTGAAGTTAGGTTAAGCTAGCACTATGCAAATTTGAGAACTAATCCGAAGCTTCATCCAAGAATCCACCACCTTGCTTCTGGCCTTGGAAAAACTTCTCCTCCTGCTGCGGCGTTCTTGGAAATTGGCTGTAGGGAGGTCTTACGTAGCTGATGTACCAGTTCTCCTGAGATTTCCCAGGCAGATTTAAAGCAGCAAGAAACGTGTTCCAAACTTCTGGTTATTCAAATTGGGTTGTTTGAGGCTTGCCCAATGCTAATTTTCAGCCTGGAGCACAAGTAGGAAAGAAACGAGAGGCTGATTGCACAAGGCCTAATCACGTGAGGAGGTCTGTTTGAATGACATCAATCCCTCACCGGGATTCCTTATGTAAGTAAAGCTTGTAGAAACTCCAATTCCGTATCTGCTGTTCCTGTTAACAAATTAGAAGAGCTGAGAGCCAAAAGTTATTATTGAACCCAATGAATATTTATTGGGCAACCTGCAGCCTGCTTTAGGAGATGCACATGCACGGAAAAGCCGGCTCTCGCTTTTGGAAATGCATTCGTGCACACGTCAGCACAGAATCAGCTTAGGTAATTGCTGCCCTCCATTATCTGGATCGGGATTTTAAGAACATCGTTAACACGGTTTCTAGGAAGGTTTCACTTGCTAGAGCAGCCTGGAACGACAAGATCCTTTGGCCCACCCCGTTGGGAAGCTGGAGTCCTTTTAAGCATGCCAGCAAAGCACGTTGTGCCAAAGAGAGGAGACAAAGCCTTGCCAGTCAGCACCTCCCTTCTGCAAGAGCTGATGGCAAGCCAGAGCTGATGGCAGGAAGCTTGGAAACCCACTGAAGGATGCTGACGTGGAGGTATGGTCATTTCTGCCCTGGCCTGCGTGCTAAACTGAGTTGTGTTGGCCTTAGTACTTTCAAATAACACATTTTTAAGGAGAAAAGTACATGTCTGCTGATTTGCTTATTAACTAAATAAACTGGGGAACCAAGTGCATTCCCTCCCCTAAATCCTCACTTTGGAGTCCCCATTAAGAATATGAAATCATGCTTGGAAATCAGGAAATTAACAGATTGGGGAAAAAAAAAAAAGTGCCAGTGGCTGGGATTTTCTCAGCAGATGGATGTATCAGCTTCGGCTCCTTTTGAGAATACTGGCTCTGAAAATGCATTCAATACATACATGCAGAATGACCCTACATAAACTGCACATAAACAGCAGTCACGGGGATTTCAGGCAGGAATAGCCTCGAAGTCCAGAGGTGGTGGTGTTCTCCTGACCACAGCCCTGTACCGCTCAAGGCCAGGCAGTAAAACTGACAGCCTCGCTCTGCACCTTCTGCCAAGCTCAAAAGCTGTAGCCGACATTAACGTGGTACAAATATGGAGTTCAGATTTCTTTTAAAATTATTTTTAAATTATTCAACCAAATTCACTAAGCTTTTAGGTTTGTGTGTATTTTTAAAAGAGGATGCTATGGGGAAAAAGAAAAGTCAAATGGCTTCAGATGTTTCAAATTTTGCAGTCTTGGACAGAAAAACCTCTGGTTTTTTATTTGGTACCATCAACATAGAGGGCTCCTGAGTTCACCTGCACTTGGGAAACAGTTTCTTTGGCTTCTGGGGTAAAAAGAATCTGTCCATTTTTATTTGCCAATTTATCTTAGAATGCCCATTCTAAGTTCCACTTTCACTGATTCACAGTTCCACTGATGGTTAGTCTTTGCTTAATTACTGCTAAACTGTCAGGCGAGAATTAACTGGATGTTGCTGTTTCTCTGTTTAGGCAAAAGGGTTTCCAGTATCCACGGTTACTATGCAAAATATGTTTCATGTGAGATGACTGCATATTGAAGTGACCGGTATCTTAAAAAAGGCAATAACCGGGACAGAAAGATGGTATGTAGCAAATTATTTTATTTTACTTTTCACAACACATTTGATTGGCAAGTTCTTAAAAATGAGAACTGTTAGTTTAACCCAAGGAAAAAAAAATATTGAAAGAGGTTCCTTTTTAAGGAAAGAAACTACAAAATTAAAGGTAAAAATCACTGACAGAGCTGAAAATTAGCAAAGTGGCAAAACTGAAGTTGATATTTTTTGCTACCTTTAAACTTTCCTTCACTTTTTTCCACCGTTTATACCTGGGACTCCTGTTAATTCTAGTCATTGGTTACCTGCGCTGCTCTTTGAAATTATTTCACTGAAATAACAGAAGTCATTTTATGCTTGTGTTTTCTGATTTTTATATATTATGTGAAAAAGCTAAAAAGCAAGTACCAGTAAGAACCGCATTCATCATCCAGAAGAACTAAACTGCTTTCTCCCTTTCTCCCATTTTTCAGTCCAGCATTTCAGACTTCTAGTGGCCTCTAGCGGTTCTTTGAAATCTGTTCTGCCTGTCTTTAATTATTTCTGCGTGCCACAAACGAGCTGTGTAGCAGACAAGCACTTTCACCCTGATCCTGCTGAAGCATAGCCTGTGTTTGAACAAGCACAGTGTTGCCCAGCTTCTCTTCATCTTCGTTACTAATTCAGTGCAAAAGCTGCGTGCGCTGTTGGACTGAGGTGTAAATCTTGAGGAAGCCACGTGTGATTGTTAGGACTCTCCTTCGTTAGAGAGAGAGATGCTAAAATAATGTATTGAATGCACACAGAGGACAAAACTTGGGCCTTCTTGCTCCTAGAAGTTCCCTAAAACCCAAGCAAGATAGAGAAAAGGCTTGTTCTTTTTGTGTGCGTGTAGTGTAGAATGCAGATAGTTTGGCAGGGTTTTTTTTGGAAGTTACAAATATTTTAAAATATAAGGTGACTGTATACACTGTATATAATGTTTTCAGTCATTGCTTGTGTGGTAGCATGAATCCCTCCCATGTTATCCAAGATGTGCTAACGATATCAAGAAAGACTTCAACTCGTCTCACCTACCCCCTGACCATTAGGAATAACAAAAGGGAAGGCAGAGTTTAAGTCGAAGGGAAATTAAACTGCCTGATGATGGGGAGGAAGGCAGGCATTTTTTTGCACCTATCTATGCCGGTGGCTCTCCTGCGCGACGCGGAGACAGTCACCTTAGCCGCGGGGCTCAGAAGGGCTCTTGGTGGCCTGAACCGGCAGCGCTTGGACGTCACGGGGATTTGGTTGGGGTTTATTTAAAATGGTTTACGCGTCCCGCGTTGGGGCACCCTCAGAGGAGACCACAGCCGCCGCCATGTCGCGCCGCGCCGTGAGGCCCGCCTCAGCCTGAGGGCGGGAGGAGGGCGGGCCGGGGCGGGGCGGCCTCAGGCCCGGCCCCTCATGTCGGCGCAGGCGGGGAAGCGCCGCGGCACCGGCGCTGCCGTTTTCCCACCCCCTTCCTGCCTCTTCCCCCGTCGCCGCCGGCAGCAAGTTGGGGCCTTGATCGCAACGCCAGGCCGCCGCCGCGGTGAGGGCGGGCGGTGGGGCCGAGGAGAGGGGGGGGAGCCTGAGGCGGGAGGCCGGGGTAGGGCGGCGAGCCCGGGGGAGGCTCAGCCCCCGCCGGGTGGCGGTTCCCAGCGCCTCAGGAGCGCTCCGGGAGCCGGTGGGTCGAGGTCGGGGGCTGCAGCGGGTCTGGGGCTGCTGGGAGCCGGGTCGGGTCGGTTCCCGTCTCGGTTCCCGTCTCGGTTCCCTGCTGTATATCCGAGGTGTCGCTTTCCCCCCCCGTTATCCCGGCGGGGCTGATGGTCAGCGGTGGGGCTGACCGGCCTCTCTCTCTCTCTCCGCCGGCTGAACAGGGAGCCTGCGTCGACTGGGATCCGCCTCTGGAAACCCTGGGTAGGTGGGATGAATCCAGGCCTCCCCGCCATCCCAGCCTGCGAGTAATTAATACTGTTTTCAGCCGGTGCTGACTTGGAGGTAAGAAACACTCTGAAACCAGCCCCCCTGGGCTACAGCTCCTGTGCCTCTGCTGCTCTTCAGAGCATCTTAGTCCTTGGCAACATGGAACTGCTCAGTTTGTCCCTGGCCCACAAGCAGCTGAGGCTTTAAGAAGGACATTACTTATAGATTTAAGTAGAAGCCTGGCATTAAAATTGGTGGCGTCGCCTTTTGAAAGGAAACAGGTTAGTATATAAATGTCAAGTGTCTGGTAAGAACCAGGACGTTGTGTTAGATTGGCTCCCCCATATTGCATGCCTTTCTTTGAGACAGGTGCAATACTGTTTGAACTAAAATGAGAAACGTAACTTGGATGCAGGAATGCATTAACAAAGCTCTGTACGAGAGCCACTTGACAGTAGCATCACCAAGTTCTCTTTTGGAAGGGGGTGTTTTGCTGTCCCTGCTGGGCACGCTGGCAGCAGCTCTAACGGAGAAGGCGGGAGGAGAACTGGGAATTGATAAATATATTGGAAGAGCCAGTGGCAAACGGGTCTGCATGAGACAGGTGAAGTAGGTTCTCTTGTGGGTGGATTGCATGTCCTTATTTACAAGTAAACGCTGTTTGGGAGGGAGGGCATGCTGACTGAGGTGGCTGTCAACAGCCACAGCAGAGGAAGTTGGGTGTTTTATCCAGGGGTAGGTTTGTCCTTAGTACCACAATCTGTTTATGCTGGGCAGTCCCAGAGGGCCTGTGCTGTTTGTGGAGGAGGAGAACAGCTTGGGGGATGGTTGCTTTGGGCTGGTGTGAGGTGACGCTGGCTTGCTTTGAGGGGAACTTTGAGTCTTGTGTCCCAGGCAGTGGCTGAAATTAAGGCTTTTACCTAAGCAGGGAGTGAAGCCTGTGACTCTGAGATGAGATGTGTTGCTCTGTCTTGAGATCTGGGTCAGAGGATGGTCTAGTAACATTGGCATTGCTTGTCTTCAGCCCTTGGGTAAGGGAGCTTCGCAGGAGGGGCTAGTGGCATAGATTGGGATGGAGGTTGACTCACGTTGACTGCGCTAGCTCACGTGTAGCAGTTAGCATCCACACTGTGGAAGACGTTAAATGATGAGATTTGTGGCTTGCTTTCAATGTAATTCCATCCCTTTTTGCGCTACTTCAGCACTTTGTAAGTCAGCCTAAAAAAATCAAAGGGACAAATTTAAGGTCAGGATGCTGTAGTCTTCAAGTTGTGACAGGCTGCAGAAGCCACACATCAGAAATGTTAAAATGTTTGCCAAAACCATTTGAACAGTAAATAGGAGTCAACCTTTGGGCAGGATTGCCTTGGAAGCTCTTTTAGGGTGTATCTGTGCTCTCAGGGATGAGTTGTGTTTGGGCCTTTTCAATCTCACAGGAGAAAGGATTGTCAGTCGTGTTTAGTTTCTGAGGCAGCTTGTAGGGAGTCGAAATAAGATGTGTACCTTTCAAGTAGTGATGGAAACTCATGTTCTGGATCAAACATGGGGTCTGTTTTGCTTGTCCTGTATTTGGCAGTGATCACCTGCCAGATCTAGGAAGCAGCAATTCCCAGCCTGCATAACTAAGTCAACCAGTGACAGTTTGTTCCAAATACTAGTGCTTAGTTATCGCTAGGATAACTTAACAAGGGAAAAAGTCTTGGCTGATGACTAAAGGCCGTAGTAATACTAATTATGCTTTTTCTCAAAATCCCATGGAACTGTTTAACTTGATGTCTTAGTTAAATGTATTAATTCAGATCTTTGGGTATTGATTTCTTCAGCTAGCTAAAACAGTAACTTGTTTCGTAAGGGTTTTCAATTAACATAGAAATAATGCAGCGTAAATAATTATTCCTAGTCATTCAGGCTTCTATTTTAAATAAGCGCTAATGAGGAAGATGCAAGTTAAATAGTTTGGAGCTGTTAATATAAAATGGAATTGTACTTTAGTGGCAAATACAAGAAGCAAGTCTTATGTCTCCTCAATGGGGAAATTAATATGTCTGTGTATATTTTGAAATAATTTATTGAAGGTTTGGGGGTTCTTGTCTTCTGGCTCCTGTGCATTTTAACTACCTAGATGCTGTGGTGTTTTATCAGCTTCTTAATGTTCAAAGTGATTCCTGTGTAACATAATTTTTTTCTGTTTTTTGGTTCCTCTACTGAAGAATTGAGTGGGGTGGCCACCTGTGACATTGCATACAATGTAATCAGATTATTTCTTTTTGTAACCCTTCTAGTGTAAAGAAATCACATTGCATCATGGCAGCAGACTCTATGGAAATTGATGATGCTTTGTATAGGTAAGAATATCAGATTTTTAAGTGTTACTTGTAACTTATCATCAACGCTTAACATTTACATGCAGTGATGTGAAAGACACAAGGCTTGTGTCTTCCGTCGTTAATTCCAAAAAAATCCTGAATAGGTTTTACAGTGATTTAAAGTTAAAAGTTATTTCTCTTCTCTAAAACCTGGCACTGTAAAGATCTGTACTAAGTGTATTTCACTGTTTGGGTTGTGAATGCTGATACTACATTTGGTACACCTTTATTTCCTAAAGGACTGTACAGTTCCTGAATGTTACGTCCTCAGTTGCTTGTTGAACGTAGGGCTGTTAAACGGACCGTGCACGCGTCACTAGTGACACAGGCTCATCTGTAGAACTTGGTATTGCAGATTAGAAGCTGATTGGGATGGTAGAACAGCTGAAAATATTTAAACTTTTTTGGAAATTATTGGTAGTTTTTGACTTGCTTTCACACACTCTTTGTTTGTATCTTGTTTTGATCTGAATTTGTCTTTGCTGTAGCCGCCAGAGGTATGTTCTTGGAGACACGGCGATGCAGAAGATGGCTCAATCCCATGTATTCCTGAGTGGCATGGGTGGCCTCGGTGTGATTTTTGACTTGCTTTCACACGCTCTTTGTATCTTGTTTTGATCTGAATTTGTCTTTGCTGTAGCCGCCAGAGGTACGTTCTTGGAGACACGGCGATGCAGAAGATGGCTCAATCCCATGTATTCCTGAGTGGCATGGGTGGCCTCGGTGTGGAGATTGGTAAGTTAGGTAACATTTATTTAAGCAGACATGAGTGTATGGTAACATACTGTCTCAGGATTCCTGGAAAGCTGATTTTAGATGTAATGAGCATGTCCAAAGTACCTGAGTGAATTTATATGCGCCTGATGCGTACGAGTTACATAGTAGATGCAGGAGTGATCCTGGACTTTTCTCTAGCAAGCTTTTTAATAGAACAACATTTCAAATTTTACTTTAAAATGTGTTTCCACAGGCCAGATCACTTTACCCAAAGTCTTGTGTCTTGGGTGAAGGTTGAAGGTGGATAACCCAAGTTATTCCTTTAGACATCAGTATCAATGAATGTGATATAGGAACAGCTACAGCCTCAACTATCCCCATGTAGGAAATGGGGGGGTGGAGGTAGGAGAACAGATGCAATTTGGTGCAAAATGCATAACTGCCTTGGTGCAAGAGACTCCTTTAACAAGTTCCCTTACTCTTTATGAGCAAGACTTGTCCTGGCTGGTTCTTACCTGATGTATTGCCCTTTCAGTTGGCCCGAAGGGTACTCTGCGCCAGATGCCAGAACAGAGTCAGGAGATTTTGCAGTTTATTGTCATTGGTGTCTCTGTAGTCACGCTTGTGGGATGAACAGCTGACAAATGACAAATGTGGAGAGCCTTTTTAGCCTCGCTCATGTTACTCTGCTTTCAGCGGTGCTGTAGAATGCTTGAGCCAAATGTGACAGAGAATGAACTCTTAAGCTAACCCTGAAGTTCTTAGCGATGGCAGTTATTGTCCACCCACATAATTAGTCAATTACACATTTGGAAGAAATCTACAATAGTCCCTCTCTCTTTCTGTTTGTTTTTTTTCAGCCAAAAATATAATTCTGGCTGGGGTCAAGGTATGTAAAACAGTTCTGTTGTTGGGTATTCTTGGGGGGGGAGAAGAAAAAGGGACAACACTACCAGCTAGCTAATCTTAAGTTTCTGAAACAGTCTTTCAGTAGAAGAGTTGCAAAACATTTGAGAACCTGATGGTAAAAACTTTTAATAATCTGGTTGTTTTAGTGGTATGGTCAGAGTTTCACATTAGGGTCTACTGAACTCTGAAATACCTCACGTAATATTTTGGCCAGCTGCTGATCAGACATTGCATCCTTTTGTACAAAGTGGCCTCTCCTAAAAGGAGTGGTATAAACTCAAAAGCCAAACTATTCAAAATATGTTATCCTATTCTGTCATCCATCAGAATCCTTTTGTGTAGACATTAGAATGGTTGGGTGTTTTAATCCAACAACTACTTTTGTGCTGCTGGGATTAATTTTATTACGGAGAAGCCTTTATAAACTTACTCTTCCAATTAAAAAAAAACCAAACTTGTTTATGAGTTTGGGAGTCCATTAATTTACAGATCGCAGTTGGCTATTAATTGCAGCATGGCAAAAATACTCCTTGATATTTAAAAGCTCTCATCACTGCAAGGTTGGAGGAGAGAGGCCTTTATAAACTTATTCTTCCGATTAAAAGAAACAAAACTTGTTTATAAGTTTGGGAGTCCATTAATTTACAGATCACAGTTGGCCATTAATTGCAGTGTGGCAAAAATACTCCTTGATATTAAAAGCTCTCATCACTGCAAGGTTGGAGGAAGATGCTTAATGAAGTGCATATTGCAGATGCGTTTCTCTCTCTCAAACAGTGAGAGTTTTCTTGGAAAAGAGGTCGGAGGAGCTTGTTCTTATACATGGTACAGCTAAACCTTCTGCAGTGCTTGTCTTACAGTGTTTTATGTGGGGCTTAATCCATCCTTTGGGGTGCTGTGACCATGTACGCTTCTTCCAGTAAATGCCTTTTGCCAAACTTTCTCAGGCTCTTACGGTTCATGACACCAAGCAGTGCACGAAATGGGATTTGGGGATCAACTTCTTCATCCATGAAGATGATATTACCAGTCAAAGGAACAGGTTGGTGAAGTCTTTGGAGCGAGGGAGGGCTGAACTTGACTAGGATTAACAGTTTCATCAGTGGCAAAAATAACAGTTGGTTGTCCAAGAGCTGCTAATACAAATCAAGTACTAATTAAACCCTGTCTCTGGAGTTACTTTGAGCGCCCAAGTAGGTACTGGGGGAAGTCTAGGACGTTCTGTCTGAGTCAAACATCTCACTTCTTGCAGTTGGGAGCTTGTGAAGTAAATGTAATAGTGGAGGCCAGGGTGCATTTCTTCCTTGGACTTTCTCAGCCACTCATGTGAGACTAGAAAACAGCCATGAGAGCAGACTGTCAGTGAGTCCTGTTGTCTGTTGGACAGAGCTGTTTTCCCCAGACCTGCTAGGAATTAAAGTGTGAATAAATAAGTTGGTGATTGTTGCCAAGAGACTTGCTGAGGGATTCTTGTAGGACATGCGGGGTATGAAATTCTGTGTCAAAAATCCAGTTTTGTAGATGCATAAAAAACTTGAAAGTTGCTGTTCTTTCAGGGCTGAGGCCACGCTTCATCGTATTGCAGAACTCAATCCATATGTCCATGTAGCAGCCTCAACTGTGCCACTGGATGAAACCACAGATCTGTCTTTTCTGAAGCAGTACCAGGTACGTCACTCCTAAAGCAGTTGTATGTGGTATTTTGCTCAGAGCAAACAACTTGGATTTTTTATGTAAGTAAATAAAATTAAAACAAACTTTAAATTACATTTCGAGGTGATGTAAAGAAAGAAGTAGGTGTTGTATTTGGACATTTGGATGAAATGGTTGTGCTTGGTTTTTTTTTTTTCAAGGCTGAAACAGTGCTTTTGTGTTCCTAGCACTTTACTATGACAAATAGCTCAGTGAGATTGCTATACAATTATATTTTTTTGTTCAAAGGTGAAACTGACCTTTTTTGCAGCTGCATAGCACGGATATTCTATATGTAGTTCATGTGCTGTATTCCAGGCAGTAGAAACTCAGGCTATATAATTAGAAAGATCATTTATGTCTGTATCTAATGAAACATAAGCTCCTTGTGGCGGAATGAGGATGTTTTCAGTTGTTCAGTCAGCTGTCTCCTCCCTGTGTGCCTGGCTCAGGCTGAGTTCAGAACTTTTACGGTGTGGCTGTTGGTTATACCCAAGCTCACCAAGTTTCTGAAGGTCTCAGCTGTAATAAGCTATGTATAGCTGAATGGGGTGCAGTGCATATGCTTTGTAACCCAATACTATCCTAAACTTCAAAAGAATGTCTGTGGAAATTGTATGTCTGCAATTTGATGAGCACCAGTATGTGAAGCTTGCGCAGACTTCTTGGTGTGCACTAATGAGTCTCCTTTGTGTTTGTTTTGCTAAGTGTAATCTTAAAATTCATGCAGACTTCTTGGTGTGCACTAATGAGTATCCTTTGTTTTGCTAAGTGTAATCTTAAAATTCAAGACCTACGTTTTCTCTGAGATTATTGTAAGTATTCTAATTAGGTTTGGAGTTTAACACCTGCAGTTAAAAAAGAAAAATATGTGGGAATTTGCTGTTCCTGCTCTTGCTCATCTTGTTTCCAGAACTTGTGGAGCAGTAACCCATCTGTGCTAATGTATAATGAGAAAACTGAGTTAAGACTCAACTTTCTCTATTACGTGTGTGGGAAAGGAATTGGGACACCTGAATAACTTCCTGTTAGTTTTTCCAGGCCACTTTTTCCATAGCCTGAAGATGTTGATTGCTTTTTGTGTCTTAGATTTACTTCTGTTCTTGTTCACAGTGTGTCATATTGACTGAAGTAAGTCTGTTGCTGCAGAAGAAGATTAATGACTTCTGTCATGCTCAGCAGCCACCTATTAAGGTAATATAAAAATGAAACATATGAATAATCTGTACAGTGAGCATTTTGGACCTCCAGCATGTTCTGTCTGGAAATGGAGAAAGCTGGTTGTGAGGTATACAGTTCCATGCAGATAGCCTGTTGATGGGTCAGTATGTGTTTTTGGAGTGCAATGCTGCTAACATGTGTCTGATATCAGCCCAGATAGCCATAGCTTTGTCCCTAAAGAAGAAGAAGTTCTGTTAAAGAAATAGTTTTCGGAGGTATACAGTTCTATGCAGGTAGCACGTTGATGGGTCAGTATGTGTTTTTGGAGTGCAATGTCTGCTGTTATCTTGATATCAGCCCAGATGGCCATAGCTTTGTCCCTAAAAAAGAAGAAGTTCTGTTAAAGAAATAGTTTTCACTGTTAACTCATAATTGTTCTGAAAGAACATGCTGAGACTGAATGTAACTGTAGTAGAATCATAGAATAGAATCATCTAGATCGGAAGGGACCTTCAAGATCATGGAGTCCAACCATCAACCAAAAAAACCATCACTAAACCATGTTCTCCAGCACCATGTCAACCCGTCTTTTGAACACCTCCAGGGATGGTGCCTCAACCCCTTCCCTGGGCAGCCCATTCCAAGGTTGGATAACCCTTTCAGTGTGAAAATTCTTCCTAATGTCCAACCTGAGCCTCCCCTGGTGCAACTTGAGGCCATTTCCTCTTGTCCCATCGCCTGTTCCTTGGGAGAAGAGACCCACCCCCCCTGGCTACACCCAGGGAGTTGGAGAGACTTCAGGGAGTTGGAGAGACCAAGGTCTCCCCTCAGCCTCCTCTTCTTCAGACTAAACACCCCCAGCTCCCTCAGCCTCTCCTCACAAGACTTGTTCTCCAGACCCCTCACCAGCTCCATTGCCCTTCTCTGGACCCGCTCTAGCCCCTCAATGTCTTTTTTTGTAGAAATGGTATTGTTTTGCTATTCCACTACATATTGGTTTGATTTCCTGTTTTTTGTGTAGGGGTTCTGAAGTGCTCATGCAAGTTCAAAGGCTGTCATTAATGCCGTGCTCTATAATCAGTGGCCTAGGTGCACATGAAAGGTTTCCACTGTAGAAGTCAAACCTGCCAGGCTTGGACAAGGTTGAATGTGAGAGGTCGTTCTTTTTTGCTTGTGCTGTTTTAGGGATACTCCTGATTTTTGACTTTCTCTTGTAGTTCATCAGTGCAGATGTATATGGAATGTGTTCACGTTTGTTTTGTGACTTTGGTGATGAATTTGAAGTGCTGGATACAACGGGAGAGGAGCCAAAGGAGATCTTCATTTCAAATATAACGCAAGTAAGGGATAGGGGTCCTTGTACTGCTTCCATTTTTATTTTTTTTTATAACGATTGGCTGTGTGACCAAGCAGAGTGTTTCACTTCAGCAGCCTGCTAAGTAGTTGAAAATTTGGCAGTATAGCAGAGGCAAACAAAGTTACTTTGTTCTTGTGTCAGTGATAACATGCTATGTAGAGCATAGTAATGCTTCCTGGTCAGTACTTAAAATGCAACGTCACAATATTGAGTCTTTTTTGAGAGAGAGAAAGAAATGAAGAGATGTAGAGAGAATGGGACATAGCCTTGGTGTGAAAATAGGTTTAGTCTTCTCAGGAAGCCTTGAAATAGGCATGAAAATAGCCCTTTTTAATGAGAAACTGCGTCACACACAGAGGAGGCCTACTGGAATGACCAAGGGGATTGACAGCCTGTTTCAAAAAGAAATTGAAATGTTTTTTTTTTTACAGGACGTAGCCTTTGTGTGAAAATAGGTTTAGTCTTCTCAGGAAGCCTTGAAATAGGCATGAAAATAGCCCTTTTTAATGAGAAACTGCGTCACACACAGAGGAGGCCTACTGGAATGACCAAGGGGATTGACAGCCTGTTTCAAAAAGAAATTGAAATGTTTTTTTTTTTAACCTACTTAAAGCAGAGGTGATGAGAAGAGCATATTGCTGCTAATACTTCCTGTGCAGAATGTCCAGATGTCCATTTGATCTTGTATTATTGTTTTATAAATGGAAATGACTTTAGCTCCTTCTCTCAACTCTGGAAGCCCAGGCTATAACCTCACTCACTGCAAGTCTTTTGTCATATCTCCAATTTAGGTGTAATAAGAACCAAACTGGAAAGGGTTGTATAGCAAGTTGGGTTTGGTCTGAATTAAAGCTCATGGTATGATTTGGGTAGCCTGTTCTTTGATATCTTTAAAAGGGAATGGGTGATTTGATTGTTCTCATTAATTATGTAAAGAGTACACAGTTAAGTTTCATGGCTTGTGCTGATTGGCTGGCAAGTCAAGGAATGACTATACATTTGTGTATGTGTGTATATATCCTCTGGTTCATAATCTGGTACTTGAGTTCAGTTGAACCTTGCTGCTACTCCCTGAAGCTGCACCTCAATACCAAAACCACCATCAAGCAGCTGTTCTTGTCCTGTGGACAGTATATATCCTCTGGTTCATAATCTGGTACTTGAGTTCAGTTGAACCTTGCTGCTACTCTCTGAAGTGTAAAACTGACCAGAATTGCACCTCAATACCAAAACCTCCATCAAGCAGCTGTTCTTGTCCTGTGGACAGGGTTGAGGTGACATTCTGTCCCTAAATCAGGGAACAACTTTCTCTGGTCAACTCATTTGCCATTCTCCATGTCACAGAGAATAATGTAGTCTGCTGTAATTAAGTTTTACGCTACTTAACCGAAATCTTTCTAGTACTGAGAGCTCAGGAAGGGATAGTCGGAGACTTTATAGGCCAGGCTTGCTTGCAAATCCACTATGTTACAGCCTGAGCTGCACCACAAGGTTTTGATGAGCTGCCCTCAAACTGCAGAGGTGTCTCTGTATGCATGGGGGGTTGGCATGGCATCCTGTAACAGGATGAGGTGTTGAAGATTCCTGCGTTTGCTTCTGATCTGCTTGAGGCTGGGGCTTTCCTGTATTTAAGGATGTCCAGCTTTGTAAGCTTCCTAACTTTCCAGAATGAGTTTGGGGTGTCCTTTTTAAGGAGGGTAAATGGAAAGGAAGCATGGAGTAGTAAGGACCACTCACAAGATCTTATTTCTTAATGTCTGTGAAAATTTCTTTGTACATATAGCCCAGTTTAGGTTTGGAAAAAGGAGGTAAGTTTGCTACTACTTCAGAACAGAAAAATGAATTTGATTGCTAAGACCTAACAAATGCAGTTTGCTAACTTGCTAAGAACTAACAAATGCAGTTTTCTAACTTGCTAAGAACTAAGAAGTAAAAAGGAGAAGGTCTGTGTTATAAAAACTTAAATTGAAGACAATAGAACTGATAAAAGTTATCGTAGGTAACTCTCTGTTATGGCAGAGCTGAGGTGCTAAAACTTTTAGAGGCTGCAGTTTCAAGAGGCAAAAAGCTACGTGTCCATGATGAAGCATGACTCCTTTACACAAGACACTTTCTTCCTTGCTAACTTTGCCATTTTCACTTTCAGTCAAATCCTGGTATTGTCACTTGCCTTGAAAATCATCCCCACAGGCTTGAGTCAGGACAGTTCTTAACCTTTCGGGAAGTTAATGGAATGTCCTGCTTAAATGGATCCACACACCAAATAACAGGTAAACTGTTGCTGACTAATTTGCAAGGTATTTATTTTTTTGGCCTGTTCTAGCACACTGTAGTGGTAGTTACTGTAGCCAGAGGACTGCTTGCTTATGCAAACTGCCAGTGAGCTTGAACAAAAAAATTGCTTTCTGGTGCAGAGGTCTTCCTAGTGTTGTCTTGACTCCATTTCCATTTAGTAAAGTTTTTCCAAACTCATTTTGCTGTGTAAGGAGCAGTGGGAACTCTCAGCTAGTGGAAACAAGTTGGCAGGCTCTGAGGTTTCCATCATTAGTTTGTTGACAAACCTGTTTTGTTTTTTGGAGGGCCCAGTAATGCCTGTGCTTCTGTCATGGTTTTGGACTAAATTAACACCACTTTGTCAGTGTTTGCCTTGGATTTTTTTGGGTGACAATTTAAATGTAGAGGGATGCATTGATATCACTCTCTTTCTGAGCATGCTTTTGAAGTGGTTCTCATGATTTAAAGTTTACCCTGCTTTGGTCTGCATCATGCATGTCTCAAGGCATACTGCTTGCTTCCTTTTGGATGCTGGGGAATCCTCCAGTTCCCAAATCTGAATGCCTATTTGTCTGGAGCAGAAGAGAGAGCGGGTAGGTGGGGGGTGGTTGGTTGTTTTCAACTATTTTGTCATCTGTGGGACAACCAGTACCCTTGAAACATGTGGTTGAGTGTGTTCTCTCTGTACCCTTTTGTTTTGCTACTGCTGGTGCTGTTTGGTTCCTTCCTCTTAATCACAGCCCAGCTGCTGGTTTTGGTTTTCCGTGAATCAACAATTTCTGTGTCTTCTTGCTTTATCTGAACAATTCTCCAGGTGGTATGAGAGGAAAGATGGGACTTAAATGCTCCAGCTGCCCTTTCTAATCATCCGCTGTTCTAGTCATGGGGCTAAAATCCTACTCTGAGCAATATACTGGACACTGCAGTGTAAATAAAACGAAAGCAATTTCATTTTTGTTACAGAGCTGCAGTCATCAGAATTCTTGTTAAATCTGCTGCCACTTTAAAAAGCTTATTTCATAACGGATCACATGAAACTAACACTTTAGCCCAGAAACTGGCAGAGAGGGACAATCCCGTTAGGAGGATCAGCTGTGTTTACGCTTTCAAAGCAAGGTTCAAAGCAAATCACAGTGTAAAAAGCATTGGCAAAACCCCACCGTGTTGTATTCAGAATTACAGCATCCGATGATGCTTTTAATTATCAGTCACTGTTTATTCTTTTCACTTTCCAGTGGTGTCACCTTACTCCTTCAGCATCGGCGATACGTCCGATATGGAGCCTTACTTACACGGAGGCATTGCTGTCCAGGTGAAGACACCCAAGACGTTTTATTTCGTAAGTGTGGGCTTGACATTACTGGGTTCTTGAGCACTAACAGCCTCAGCTCTGGAAGTAGAGTTCATCAGATGCATGATTTGGTTACCCACCATTTGGCTTTACACCAACTTTATTGGGTAAGAATAGCGATACCAATTTACTAAGCTGTGGAGAGCAGGAAATATTTCAAAGTTACCTGCCAGTGTTGAGAAAAAAATAATTATTGTCAACCTGTCCCTTTACTGCTGGAAATTCTGTGAAGGTCTACAAATATGTGATTTTTTAGCAGCCTTCTGAGAAGAAGAGACAGTTGGATAAGAGGGGTTGCAAGCTACATGGTACTGTGTGCCTTCCTGCGCCCGCAGAAAGTAAATACTGACTGCCCTCAAACATTCTTCTAAAAAGCTGGGACCAGCACCTGCTGGTATGAGAATGCACAGCTCAGTGTCTTGTCTCTGTGAAGCAGTAGCTTCCTGAGTGGGGAAGGTCCACGAGCAAACAGCCAGTTGCCTGTAGAATCTCTGGAAGCCGACCTCAGAGCAGTTTAAGAGATGGGTCTTGCCACTGGGAGGTGAAACATCTCTCTGACCATTTTTGATTGACAAAACTTAGAGAAGATGCATAATTTTATGCATCTTTTGTGGCATTAATAACGGAGAGAGTAATACCAATACCAGTAAGAAAGGTTATTTGGTTCTTAGTCTCTCCAGGAAGAGTATCATCTTGGCAGGTAGCAGCAACTGTCGTGTCCTTAAGTGGCTCTGTTGTTACCATGAATTCTATTTTTCCAGGAACGGTTGGAGAAGCAGATAACAAATCCATTATGCCTTGTTGCGGATTTTAGCAAGCCTCAGGTAATTAACATGCTGGGATTTGGGTGTGAGTTAATGTTAAAACTACATGGAATCTGCAGCTTTCCGTGTAGAACAGTTAAATATGAGTTTAAAGTGTGAAATAAGAGTTGAGGTGTCAGTTTGGGTGGTTACACAGAATACACATTATGGTTTAGATCACCACAGAGGCTTGTTATCCGGGATTTGCCCCAAGTAAATGCATAGCTCAGCCCCCTCTGCTGTTTAAAATCCCCATTTTTGGTGTTTAATTCATGGGTTTGTCAATTTTGCAAGTGACACAATGGTTTTTCCTCTATATTTCTTGGTGTTTGGTTGATAAAAATCACACTGGCGTCAAAGCTGGGATAATCAGAAGAAGGTGGTCATAGATTTGTGGGAAACTGGAATTAACAGTGCAAGAATACTTTTTTTTTTTCTCTGAAAAAATGATTCAGAGGTATTTCTAAAATCTGAGAGGAAGCTAAGAGTATTTGCCTCTAACACAATTTTAGTGAAGTATTATGGACGTGCAAGGCATGTAGGTCTCAGGCTCATTAAAATTTTAAACTAAAAATGTTGGTCTAAGGATTTTTTGTTTGTTTGATAATGTAAGGTCTGACTTCCCTATTTGACCCTTAATACTGGGCTTTGGTATTGATATTTGGCAAAATGCAATGTAGTTTAGTGTCAAGTTAAAAGAAGATTACTGCATTTTCCAATTTCAGCACTAAAATCTTTTGGGGACTCTTCAGCTGAACTTAGCTGAAGTGGGTGCTGAGTGTGTGTGAAGAGTATTGCATTACCACTGAGTAATACTTTGTAATCCCAGTTTTTAAAAACATTAGTGTAAAGTATTTCAAATTCACTTTTTTAATGCTATTTAAAAACTTTTTTTGAGTGCTACGGTT